ACGGATTAGATAAGTTTGGCCACAAGGTGAGTGTTGCATGGTATAATATTAATGTTTGTGTACATGTATGATACCAGCCCAGAGTTTTATTTTTGTGATTGGCAAATTATTGCTGAAATTGCAGAAATAAAAGCCACTGCTTTGCTTTATTTTGAACATAATTATGTTCAACTGTACATGGCAGCATGTAGAACTGTCAATATATTTTAATCATGGACTCAGTCCAATGTTAGTTTCCATTAGAAATTTCCCTGTATTTCTTTGCACTGTATAGGATGTACTTGTACTTCGTCAGTTTATGACTCCGGAAGGATACCTGATTAACAAGCGAGTCTCAGGTATGCCGAACTATAGTATCCACATACTTTATTGGACTCTACAATGGATGCATGATATTATGTATAGTATCTGTCACTACCTGATGTACTTAATTATTATTGTTCTTTCTTCTATAGGTGTATGTAAAAAGATGCAGAGGAAACTTGCAAAATCAATAAAAATTGCAAGGAACTTGGGATATTTACCAAGAAAACCTCAGGCTTTAATAAACCAATCAACTTGATTAATTTATTCACAAGGTCCATATGTAATATTTATGAATATAGTTATTATTTGCAAAGGATGTGTTATCATGAATATTTTTTAAACTTTATTGTTTGGGTGTGCCACTCTATTTCTTGCTGTCATGTTGCTAGTTCCTTTTTTCCTTCTCTTCTGTCTTTATTATCTTTCCATTGCTAACAGTAAGTTGATATTAAGCGTTACGTCATGCTCTCTTGTGAGCAGATTGTGATAGAACTGAGCAGTATTACGAAGATGCTTTTCCTATAATAAACATGAGCTCTTGCCCTTTGAGTCGTGATGAACTACACTGTAACCATCTGGGACAGACATGCAATGGTAGCTGTACTACAAAGCAGCTATTCTATCAAACCTCCACAATGGAAGACTTTGTTGTTTTAACAGTCTATCAATTGCAGTATATAACTGATGAGCAAGCATTTACTGATGCTGTTGATGAGTTTAGGTATCTCTGTGATACAGGTTATACATCTCTGGGTTTAAATGTCATTGATTGCGTGCGATTGTTCATTGGTCTTTGTGTGTCTTCAAATGAAGCTTCATCATGCATGGACCAGCTGTACAGGTTTTGTGTTCCTGCTACTCCAACTTGTATTGCTGGGGTTGAATATACTTTGCTGCTAGGATTAAATGATCAGTGTCAATCATCCAATTGTGTGAGCCATGCATTACATACATACAAACTCTGCATGCTCAGCAGGTTTGACTGAATCTTTAATTTATAAATTTTAGCCGGTGCTTTCAAACTTTAAAGGCTAACAAACAAATCCTCCAAACAAAATCTTCTCTATCACAAACAATTTGTAATTATATAAATGTATATTTATTGCAGGATAAGTTGATAACGGATATACTTAACAGTCCTCTTAAATTCAGCACCATCGACAGACTTGCTGCTTTACTCCATGGAGAGTCCAAGAGAGCAACAAGAGCTATTACACTCCATGAACACTTGACATCAGTTCTTGATACTTTTGAAGAGAATGCACAAAATGTATCAAATTTAGTTGACAATAACGATGCACAGGTAGCTATGCCCAATTGTGTGACTACTTGATTATGATTTTAAAGGTATTTTTAAAAACAATGGATAACGCCTTTGGTGATAGTCACATTTCTAATCTTTCCCTTTCACTTTTGGTATGCGCAATCCTCACTATTAATAATAATAATAGCTGTATTGTGTAACCTCGTAATGTATTGTAGGCTGAGACTGGCCCTAAGACACTGACACATCTTATGGAGCTCAATCAAATCTTTGGTATGGCTATTTTAAGTGGCGGGGGAAGAATTGAAAGCAACCTCACATTCAGTGGCAGCAACTTAGGTACAGTCACTCACTCCATACTCCTACTGTACTGTAATGTATTTATAGATGTTCTGTTTCAAATTACTGATAATAAAGACTTGTCCTTTCAACACACATCAGGTTTAGTTATGCAAATTTTGCGTGAGTATTTTTATAATCATCTTGCACATGATTAGCTAATAATGAGACTTCGGTTGACATAGACCTGCCTAGGACTGCTCTGTGTCAGAACTTGTCGTCTTCTCTGGTTTCTCTTCCTTTATCTTCTAGCAGTGATGACAGTACGAGGTCGGAATCAAATGAAGATATACTAGATACTTACTTCAACTGCTATCCTCCACCTTTTCCTTCAGACAGTATATGTAAATTCACACTATACAACAAATTGTCTCTTCTCTTTTAGGTTGTAAGTATGTTGTGGTATCGTCTTATGCCCAAAACATAGAGGGATCTTTTGAGGAGATATCTAACAGGTCAATAGTGAACATAGGGTAATGGTAATGTAACTGAAAATAAAAAATCTATTGGAATAAAATTAAACTTTAACCAAAGAAGGCTGTATGTCATTTAAAGTTGCTTCGAAATTAAGCCAAAAATCATGGACTATAATAGTACATGGTATTTTGTCAAAAATTGCTCCGACATAATTTTTCATTTTTATAACTTCCTGATGCATATACAATTTTTTATGTAATTTATAAAATTTGAGCTCATTTTGATCAAAATTAGATTTTTTACAATTTTTAAAGTTGTTCAAAAATCAGGCCAAAGTCCCTGTACTATAAATAGTATAGGGATTTTGACCAAAATTTTGCCAAAAATAAAAAGTACAGAATTCCCTGTTTTTATAATTTTTTATGATACGCATACATGTTTTTATGTTGTATAGAAAGTTTGAGCTGATTCCAATCAATTCAAATTTTTTAATGACTTTTAAAGTTGTTCAAAAATCCGGCCAAAGTCCCTGTGCTATAGTACAGGATCTTGGGCCAAATTTTGCCAAAAATGAAAAAAAGGAAAATCTTCATTTTTATAATTGTTTCTTATGCATATACATGTACTTATGTTGCGTAGAAAATTTGAGCTGATTTCGATCAAAATTGGATTTTTTATGAATTTTTAAAGTTGCTCTAAAATTGGGCCAAAGTCCCTGTGCTATAGTACAGAGATTTTGGCCAAATTTCATCAAAAATAAAAAGTAGAAATTTTCTCATTTTTATAATTTTTTCTGATATACATACATGTTCTTATGTTGTGTAGAAAGTTTGAGCTGATTCTAATCAAATTTGGATTTTTTATAAATTTTTAAAAATTGTTCGAAAATCAGGCCAAAGTCCCTGTACTATAGTACAGGGATTTTGGCCAAACTTCATCAAAAATTAAAAGTAGAGAATTCCCCATCTTTATATTTTTCTGATTTATATACATGTTTTTTATGTTGTGTAGAAAGTTTGAGCTGATTTCAATCGATTTGGATTTTTAATGAATTTTTTAAGTTGCTCAAAAATAGTGACAATGGAACCAATGGTTTTTAGCTTGTCACAAAATTGTGACAATGGAACCAATACGTTTTTTGCTTGTCAAAGATTTTGTGACAATGGAACCAATGGGTTTTTGTTTGTCATGGATTTTGTAACAATGGGACCAATGGGTTTTTGCTTGTCACGGATTTTATGACAATGGGACCAATGGGTTTTTTACTTGTCACAAATTTTAAAGTCGCTCCAAAACTTGGCCAAAGTAATAAGACTTAAATGTCATGTGATGTCTTTATTCCATTATGACCTTCCAATAATAGTTGTAAAATTATAAATGCTTTTTAAATGTGATTGATAAGTTATACTTTATTTTCAGGACATTGGTAAGTCCTATTGTATCAGTACAAGTCTCCTCAGAGACTAATGCCACAATACCAAGAAACTATACATTTGAACTGTTTGAGCCTATTTCTCTCACATTCAACATCAGCACAGAAAAGGTGAAGAATAATTATTTTCTATTGATATAAATTTTTTCAGTTTAATTATACTGCTGGTGAGAGGCCCTTGTGTCATTACTGGAACACCTTGTTACAGTAAGCAATGCATTCAATGAATAGAAATGAGGTTACTCTAGAAACTGGTCCACTGATGGTATGACAACAACAATACACTCCAGTTCTCAAGTACATTGTACTAGCAATCACTTAACTAGTTTTGCTGTACTGGTTGATCATTCTGGTGTCATTGAGGTACAGTACATCATTCAATATCACTATTATTATTATTTTACCTTGAAGTGAGCTTACATTGTTCTCAAAATGGTTCTGAAAATGCCTCTAATTTTTGTTTTGTTTTTCCGATATTTTTTAGTGTCCTATGTAGCATGTATATTTCTCATTGCAGACTGTCAGTGATGGTGAATCTCTTGCTTTAAGTATAATTGGTTACGCTGGACCAGTCATCTCAATCATTGCTCTTATAATCACTTTAATACTTCTCATTCTGTTAAGGTAATATATCTTACATGTTGCTTGTAATAAAAATAGAATTTACTGATAGAAAAAAGCTCCAGAAAGGTCCACTGCTGTATGTGCACGTTAACTTGTCACTTTCTTTACTGTTAGCATTACTGGTGTTTGTACTTGGAATTGAATTGCCAAAATCTATACCAGTAAGTCCATTATTCACTAGCAGTACTGCATCTGCTTGTTAGTGGTTGTGTTCAGTTGTGGCTGGATTGCTGCACTATTTGTTCTTGTGTGTATTCTGTTGGTCATTAGCCGAAGGGATAATGCTGTACATATTATTAATAAAAGTCTATGGATCACTAGCTGATAAATGGTACCTATTGCTGCCACTTGGATGGGGTAAGCATTACTATGCTTCAGAAAAAATTAATTAATTCATTTAGGTGTACCCATTATCATTGTTGGCATATCTGCTGGAATAAACTATGATCTTTATGGTACTGAGAACTAGTAAGAATGCAATAAATTATTTTTAAAATTATCTTTTAATTCAGTTGCTGGTTGTCTTTCAATAAAGGAATGCTTTGGTCATTTGTGGGACCAATCCTGCTTATAATACTAGTTGGTGATCTCTTGTACTTCATTACAATTATAATTAATTATGTAGATTAATTGCATCTTTCTTTCATTGACAATTTATCATATTATTCGTTCAAGAATGGCAAGTGGAGCTGAGCAAAATCTAAAACGAACAGAATTAGTGAAGTAATGAAGCATTATAGCTTACTATAAATGTGCAATACTCTTCTAACGTTAGGTCTGCAGTGAAAGGAATAATTGTGTTGCTACCTTTGCTTGGCATAACTTGGATAATTGGAATACTTACAGTAAATCAGGAGACAACAGTTTTCCTATGGCTATTCACGGTCCTTAACTCACTACAGGCAAGCCAAAGGACTATGTATTATTAATATTATTTGAATATTACCTCTATATAGGGTGTTGGTATTTTATTTTTGCATGTCTTAAGGAATCAATATGTAAGTGAGCCATGAAGAGATACTTTGTTATTTTTGTTTTATTTGCCAACAGATCACCAATTGGTTTAAAAATAAAGTTAAAAATTGGAAAAGTTTTTCAACCAGTGGAACAAATGAAGTATTTCATTTCATTTTTAACAATTTGTTGTGCATTTTCTTGTAGATGCACATAAAAAGTTTCAATAAAAATGTATCAGGTATATATAAAGTTGTTCAGCTTATCATTTTAGGATCCTATTGTAGGAACATCAGTGACAAGCACCATCACTTATACTTGATACAGTAGGGAGATTAACTTAATTTTGAAATTGAATAACAGCTTATGTGAAGAAAACCAAGAAATGACAATTTTAAAGTATTATTTTATGTAGTAGTTGTTTAATGTTAGATTATCAGATGATTTGATTTTTGGTTTCTCAATCGAGGATAAAGTAAGTGACCAATTCTCCTTTTCCCTTCACGTTCACAAAACCACGGAATTTAAAGTTAAAACCCAGACCCTGCAGTATACTCTTGGTTTCTTGAACAACCTATGAGATACAAAGCAATGCATGTGTGTATATATATGCTTAGCCACATTTCTTTATGCACTAACTTGTGTCTGTCCCATGACACCAGTGCTCTCCATTCTACTAGCAAGATTAACAGTGTCTCCCCATACATCATATTGTGGCTTTTTTGCACCAATAACACCAGCAACAACAGGACCGTGACTAATACCTATAGTATAATATATGTATTAACTCCATTCAGTGTACTACTGTTAAGAGTGATGATGTATACATACCAATTCTCATTTTGAAGTCTGTAAAGGAGTCATGATTAATTTTGTCAAGTTTCTCCTTCAGTGCAATGGAAAATTTAACCAAGATTGCAAGATGCTTCCAACCATCATATTTGCTGTCTTCCTGCAGACATTTTGTTGCTATTTTGTTGACAATACTGCAGTCACTCACTTGCAAGCCAGATGCTATCATGTAAGTACTTCCAATTGTTTTTATCTTCTCCAGGTGAGAGAAAGGCTCCTTTTTCAAAAGCTGGTCAAAATCTGCAAGTCAGTACCAGAATTGCTGAAATGGACTTTTTATAAGTTGAGAATATATAATTACCTCCAAATATTTCATTTAAAAGTCTGAGACACTCAAGACCGTATTTATTTAGAGGATGTTCATTGTAAAATGAGGAAAACTCTGGAATAGCAGCAAACATTACACCCACTTTCTCATGATAGTGATAATAAAGATCCTACAATTATAATATACAACAAAACTTATATGCATGTTTCAACCTTTTGGCTGATGAAAGGATCAAGAAAATGGCGGACAACATGATTTGGCATTAAATTAGAAAGCAAGACACAGTTGTGAGCTTTGACAACTTCAACTTTGTTCTGTTGCTCAACAATCTTAAAAATCAATTAGTTTTAAAAATAAATTTTGAGAGCCTTAATTTATAACTACCTCTAGTGTTTGGAGGAAGTTAATTCGCTTTGCATACTTAAACTAGAAATTACAATCACAGCATATAATAGTAAGAAAATATAGCTAACCTGCCAAATCACGATCATTCCAAAAATCACCATGAATACAGCAATGACTGCCAAGTATATTTCATTCTTAATAAACATTTTCCTATACAAATATAATGATACTACTGTATAGCATCTGCTCTCACACATACATTGCATTATCGCCATAAAGAGTGATATGGTGGAGGAGGAACGTATCAAAATAAGCAAAAGGCAAAACTATAAGCATGTGAAACAAAGAGCAAACGGCAAAAAGGAGCGTCCCAGCAAAAGGAAGATCAGACATTGGTAGAATAACAAATAGAGTCAATATTGACAGCAGGATCAGATAATACTACAGAAAATAAAAGACTGTGATAAAGTAATGATTTCCTTACTTCCACAAAGTCACATCTTCCCTCTTGAGAGTTAAGTGTTTCGTATGGCATCAGTAGACTTGCATTAGGTTCACATTGGATCTTTAAAAATAATGAATTAATATATATATATATACTTTTTGACTACCTACTATTCCAATAGTTGCTGCATTGAGTGCTATGACCCACATCACCATAAATAGTACATAGTGATAGAGACGGTTATGTTTCAGAGCTTGAACAAACTTTTTCAAAATGCTAACTTGAAAAAACTACAGAAAATAAAAATTAAATAAATAGATTTATAAGGCTTACGTTTGTATATTCCTGAGTGAAAAAAATGACTGTCAGTGCCATGGAAATGATTATTGCAACAACATTAAGGAAGTGGGATATAATGCTGTTACTATAATGAAAAGTGAATCATTATTATTATAAATGACACTCTATAAGTCTCACTCTCTTGGAAGTATTGTCAATTGTGTCAAGTAATTGAATAATGACATTATAGTCATTGAAACAAAATAGGACAAGTGAGGTTTAACTCCGCCCTGTAGATACTGAGAGAAAATCATTGTCTAATCCAAAGTACTTTACTACCTCAATTTCATGCTGTGTTTTCTTAAATTTTAACTGGTAGCGATGTGCAAACTTCTTCCACAGTCTAAATTAATAATTATTATTAGTATTCAATGCTTCATAGAAAGAGATAAACTGACTTATTGCAATGTTCCTTTGTCACAACACTTGCCAAACTATCAATGAAATCTTGGCGATTCTTGACTAGTCTTATCATGTAGCAAATGATCATAATTAAAATTATTAGGAAGGATTCTTACTTGGAGGAACTCCTTGAAACTCTCTACCAGTGATTATCAATGATAAATGTTTCATAAATCATTATTATACTTACAGTTATTCCAAGTGTCTTTGATACATCAGCTATCCCAAATCTTCGTCCTTCCTTAAAGCTACCAGAACGAGGAGACTCCATTTCTATATCGTGATTGATTAAAGCACAACTGTAAGGTTTAATTGTCTTCAATGAATCTACATAGGCAGCAGTTATACATGTGAAATCATTATAATAGCTATTCTCTTCATTATACCATCAGGCGCTGTGATGTCAATCTCTGATATAACGCTACTAACTTCGCCATCAATACTTGCCTGTATAAAACATGAGAAATTTTTGTATCATAACAACCTCAGCTTACATCATTCTGTTTTCTCCCAGTAACAAAATAAGTTTTCATCTCATCTCTTGGACAATTGGCCTCAACATTGTACAAATTCTTGATTTCTTTGTAGGTCTTCTTGCTGATATGTACATAGCTACAAAGAATTATCATAAAATACCTCTAAAGACTAACCCTGGTTTTCCTGTTGCTTCCATTTTGTTGGCTATATTCACATCGGTTGACCAAACATCAAATTGCCACTTCTCCAAGCCAATGAGGCCAGAAAAGACAGCCCCAGTATGAATACCAACACGCATACTTATATCATAACCTGTCTCATGACTCACTCGTCTGTATCATGCACTTTGTAATCATAATGATAGGAGTTAGAGAACATACTTGATAACTTCAATCATTTGTAGTCCCATTTCAACACAGTTTTGAGCATGAGTCTTGCTACTGTCGTATAGTCCAGATACACAATAATAGCAATCCCCCAATATCTTGATCCTCATGCAATTATTATCCTGTAAACATTGATACGTATATACATGTACTATCATGTTTTTTTTTCACTTCAGCTAGGCAGTCAAAACGAGCAAATAACTCATTCAGTGTTTCGACAAGTGTTTTAGCATCAATCTTAGATGAAAGGGCAGTAAATCCTTTGATGTCAGCAAACAGAATGCTGTATCAAAAGAAAAATGATACCTCATGCTCTTTATAATAGCATTTAGACTACCTGACATTATTGGATCGGTTGAGGTGTAGCTTTCTAAACTCCTCTGTTTCATCTTCCTTAGCCAGCTCATTGGACAAACTTGCTTGTGCTACTTTTGCAATATCTGGTGGAAATATCGAGTGAAGAAGTTTCTCCTATAATGATATTTCAAAAACACAATAACTCTAAATAATGTATAAGAGTACCTGCTTGAGCGTTTCCTTCTTTATGTCCAGATGTGTTATCACGTTATTCTCAATTTTCTGGAAAGCCATCCACTTTTCCTTGCTTATCATAAAATGCACCACCAAGCAGACCAGGGATCCAGTTGTGAGTATCAAGTATCCAGCAGCTATCTATATATAGAATTAACACATAAACACGGCATGATAAGACTTCGAGTGATGATAGTCACCTCTTTGTAGATCGAGTCCACTCCTGGGCTGGTATTAGGATAGTAGCACGTATATCCAGCAATATTGAGCATATACAGAGCAACAATGAAGAACACTGTCAGAAAGGTACTGTTCTGAAGACAGGACGTGACGTTGAGGAGAAAAGTGAGCGAGAAAAGCAAATTGAATCCCGTGGACTTGGCATCAAACACTATCAGCTCAAACAGCAAGAGAAGTGTTAGGTCAAGAAAGAGAGCAGCATAGCTGATTTTTTTGAAGGCGTCTTTTTTAATGAATTTCAATGTAATCAAAGCAGTTTCTACAGTTAAAGCAACGACACCAAAAATAATGTATTCAGCATGTTCCATATTAGCAGCAAAAGGATGGAGAGCAATAAGGAATGCTTTGTAAACTGCATTGACGATGAACATCCACAGTATCTGACTCTCATAACTCGTGTAAAGAAAATCCACATAAAGCTCCTTGCATTCGCTCAAACGAAATTGGAACAAGAAACCGGGGTTCCAGTTAACAATCTTTGTAAAGACAACCCATAACTTTTTAAGCAGTGAAACTGTGAGCTTTCTAGTCAACTGAAATCTAACCATCTTCCTTACTTACCTTCGCTCCAGACTGAACTTTGCACGAGACGTCTGCTGGTTTTTATGGAAACAGTTTCAAAATGGATGACTGTTAATTATTGTTACAGCTCAAATAAAAGGAAAGGAGTTTAGTCGCTGACTGTCTGCATCAAGTGTCAATGAGTGATAACATTCAGCACTGCACTACGGAATACAATTAATGAATGAATCAATGAATAAAAACACAAGTTGGCTAGTTTATAATCAAAACTTTTTGTCAGTAAAATAATGATATAATTATCAATAAACTGTTTGTTGATTTTGTATGGGAATTCATGTACAGTATGGAGTAGTGAATCGATGTTTGTTATAATAATAATAATGGTAACAAAAAAGAAAAGAGACACAAATAAAGATACATGTATGGTGTAAAAATTAAACAAAGTGATGAGTGAGAAGAAGAGGACACAACAGTTAACTCATATCCAGCTGGAGCTCTCTTCCTCTGAGCTATGATTGTGTGTTTCCTCAGGGAAAGGTGAAGCAGTTGGAACATAATGATTCCGTCTGGTACGAGCGCTTGATACTCTGTAACCAGACAATGAGCTCCCACCAGGAGAGATGAGATCAGAATGCTTTACAAGAGAAATAGATTGAAGATAAGAAGATTACATTACAAAGTAATAAGTACTGGTATTGAATTATTCTTTTGCTATTGCTGTATGGTATTTTAAAAGTATAAAATTTGTACATACTACTAATAAAGGAGGACTTTGGCCTAATTTTTCAGCAACTAGTAAAATCTCTATACCTACAATATGTGCCACAAAATGCTAAAAGATGTTTGTAGTGTATGATCTATTTCAGTTCATAGTAATAATAACCAAATACTGCCAATGCAGTGTAGTGTGTAGTAAATTAAATTGGCATGTGGCTGTTATGATTAATAATACCCGATTTGTCCATTGGTATTCAATTAATATGATCATTACTCATTCAAACGGCAGATGCATTATAAGGACATCTTTCTCATCATCCATACATTATCATTAATCACAAAATATTCCTTCTAGAGAAGTTAATTATGGCTGATTACACACACTGCAATGTAAGGAGTATCGGATGACACTACTCCCACTTGTATCAGTTAATCATGCTATACATACCTGTGTTAACGAAGGAGTGTTGGTGGAGCTGCTGCTTCCAACTGAGCCCTCGTTGTACAGTATTGTTCCAGTGTCTTGAGAGAGAGTGGATCTTAAACCAGCAGAACCAGGCTTGAAACTAAGAACCTGAAGCTACATAATCATAATAAATGAAATAAAGCAAGATTAATTTGGGATTTATAGCGGTCAGACAATGATAATTATTCTCAATTATATGCAATCAAAATTTTATAGTTTTATTATCATATACATGTACATAATAATCGTCCTCACTTCGCTAGATTGGGATTCAGGAGGTGAGTCAGGAGAGGTGGAGTTCCCATCACCGCTAGTAGTCATACTCCCAGTGGAAAGGTAAGAGGACTGGCCCTGCTGTGAGAGTCTGAGGTGAGCTAACTGGTTCTTCAATTGAGTTATCAGTTCACTTGATGTCCTTAATTCTGCTCTCAGTTCCGTGTTCTCAGTCTTCAAAAAAAAGAGAATAATTTGAAATAAGGTGTGCACTCTCCCTTACCTGTGAGCCTTCCAGTCTTCTTTGAAGCAACGCTCTCATTCCATCAGCAGAAGCTGCTGCATTTCTTTTATCTAAAGTCAACTTTGAAACCTGTTTCTTATACTGCTCGATCGTCTGATGATACGTAGTCTATATAAATAAAATAATAATAATAATAATAACAATAATAATAATGATAATAAATATAAATAATCTATGACTAGGATGCTGCCTACAATTGATGTTGCAATGTACCTGTAATTGCTCTCTTTGTTCTCTGAGCATTTTAATTTGCTGTAGTAGGAGCTTTTCTCTAGTGCTGCTGGGAGCTTCATTATCTCCTTCAAAGTCAACTATGCACTCCAACTCATTGTCATACCTAATAAAGATATAAAATACATGTACATGTTTGTACTTTATTATCTTTAAAAGTGTGACATTCTTGGTAGAGTAAATTATTTATTGTTATGGATACAAACAAAAAACTTTTGATAACACTACCTGTTTAGCTCTTCTCTCAAAACCTCTTTCTCAGCTATAGCCCTGTCTCTCTGCCGGGCTACTTCAGCACAGGCATTGATCAGGTCCTGATTCTGAAGGATGACAGTTTGGAGCTGAGCCTTTGTCAAGTCGCATTCGTCGTTGGCTTTGTCCCTCTCAAACTCGAGTTGTCTTGAGACCCTCATTTGAGTGTTCAGCTGCTGCATAATGGAGTCCAGCTCGACCCTCAATTGCTGTGACTTCATCTTCTTCATCTTAAACTGAACAAGTAAGATATGCATTAATTAGGTTAAGGGAGGAGAGAGACATTCGATATCTCATAATTGAAATATTCAAATCCAATAATAACAGCTGTAAATCAAACACAACAAATTCCCAATGTATGCGTGTGTGTGTGTAGAAATACATTCATGCAATAAAAATAAGGAACTGATACTGCAGCTGAGGTATGTCTAATCTTCCTTCTTTACTGGTATGTCTAACGATATCATGCAGAAACAGAGTTTGTTCTTTTTTTAAGTTGCAAAATCAAAATTTTCGTAGAAAATCATCATCATGAGAATAAATGAAATTACTGTGACACACCAAAAAGTTAATATTAGAAAGGGAGTGACCTATTGTATTGTTACCAAACACAATGCTATAGTAAGCAACAAATTATCAGTAATAGCTTAGACATGTTATATAGTCAGTAATAGATAGAGACATGTATATATGGGTAGTATTGAAGCCATGAACACATGATACTATAATTACAGGACACCTGTACATGTACATGTACATGTATACATGTAGACAGACATGAAGACTCACTACATGAATTTATGTACACGCAATGAGTTGAGAAACAGGATCACACTAATCACAAGCAAATAACAAACACTATGTAATGTTTACAGCAACAGCTTCATTAACTATAAGCATGCTGTTGTGTATGCCTAAGTCAATGTGGAGGAGAGGATTTTAAACAGATGAATATTATTCAACAAACACCATGCTCCAATGAGCATAATCAACAAAGCACAGTGATCATTATTGATACTGACACTACACGTACATAATAATGAAGATGAAATAACACGTCTTGAATGATGCGGGTCCGAAGCACAAGACTGTAATAATGATAATAAATAGTTGTGCATGGATGCTGGGTGAATGTACTTGTAAGGTCAATAATGTTATGGGAGGATGGGGAGGCTGGCCAAGCATGAAATGAGCTCAGAGACAGTTATGATATCAACGGAGACCGACAGAAGGCTTGAAGGGTACAATAGTGGAGAGGAGATTATAATTAATTACGCGTAAAGGAGAGAGACAAATGTATAATAGAAGGAGAGGCAGCAAGGCTCTTGGGAAAGAGAAGGGGGGGGGAAATTGAGCAAGTGAGAGTTGTGTGTGTATGTGTGTGTGTGTGTGTGAAAATGAGAGCACAAATACAATCATGATAACACAAATATGGTCAAACATATTACTCACTTCCTTCATCAGAGCAAGATTAAACAGATTATGAAGAGATAATAGAAATACACTTAATTTATAATTTATCCCTCTCTTTCTCTCTCCTCTTTATCCCCCATTACACACAATATAAGAGAATGAGTAACTCTATACAGCTACCTACACATAAATATGGCCTAATTTAATTAACAATCTTTCATAATCGTTCATTGTAAGGTACAAGAGAGATGATCAAGGTTTCGTTCTTACTTCAGGACTCCTTGATGCCTTCATTACAGGTGAGCCTCCTCCCTCTAGTATCTGTAATTGTGACACTGCATCATTTCTTTGCTCAATAGCTCTTGCTAGCTGCTGTACAGTGAACCTCCAAGAGTCCTCATACCTCCTGCACTGCGTTTCTAACGTATTACGCTCGGCCAGTAACTCAGAGAAGTCTCTTCGGACAATATTGAGCTCTGCCTCCATGATACGTAACTTGGTACTACCATCCAGCATTGAGACACCCCCTATATAGTAATGTAGTGGGCAATAAAGAGCTGGTACTTCAATCAGGGGTCACCACTATATGAACTGATAATTAACATATGTCTTAACCACAACCCAGCCTCCATTGAACACTAATGCATTATACATTGACACTTATTTAAAATCAATTAGGATAGAGTGCAACTGATTGTAAGACCATACACACTCTTATAAGCATTACCCATGCAATCGATGAAAGGTTAGATCTACATAACATTGTATAATAATGCTGATAACCAAAGTAATGAAATCCCACATTATAAACTAAGCTAGCCTATATATTCCATTAAATTAATGTACACATCTCACCAGCTAAGATATACTCATCACTTGATACAGCTAGTTTAGTGTATCCATTACTGCTAGTTTTCACTCCTCCTCCTTTTGGTTTGGCAATGCCAGTGGAGCTACTACTCCCTCCACTAATAGGAGAAGGGCTACTGGGTATAGGGTACAGTGCATTCCCACCATTCTCCTGTCCTCCTCCTCCTCCTCCTGTGAACACTGTTCTTCTATCACCAGTCCCAATTTGAGGTGGCCGTAACAAATCCTGAGGGCTGGGTCTGATGCTCTCTTCGTTCATTATTGGACGATAGTTTATTCCTTTAGTTGCAATGATTCTTAAATTAACTGCGCTGGGTCTTAGTGTCTTGTTTCTCCCTGCAGACTGGAGTTGCGTTCCCTTTTATGACTGATAATAGATTTGTGATCACTGGAGTCGGAGCCGCCCAAATTTGATATAGATCTAACCACACCCACTCAATCTAGAGTGGGCTCTAATGATTTGGAACCAAAAATCCAAATTTAAAAAAAAAGTTCCGTTTTTGGGTGTGGTCATTTGCTTTTAAAACCACGCCCGGTAAACTTGGTCAGCTTCGACTCTTTTGTTTACAGCATCATGCCTAATGGAAGAAGTCCACTGACTTTAGATGATTATGGTCACTGTCTCGATTGGACATTAAATGGGTCTATCAACTCTCTGGCTTTTCATTTCATAGCCACCATCTGTAAGAGTACTTTTAAAAATTAATATCACGTGACCCCCCCCCTCTCTCTCTCTCTCTCTCTCTCTCTCTCTCTTCTGTAGGCCCTAATGAGACTGAAAATGCATCTTCAAAAAATTTAGAGGCCTCTATTGAAGCTCCTGCTACTTTCTTTGTACAGATATTTCGTCTTGGATTATCTGTAACGTTTATAGTCATTATTCTGGCACTATATAACAGGTTGGGTGAAGTTGGGAGCCATTTATGAATATCTTTCTCTCCTTAGTATTGATGTTTTGGGTCGTACTATATTCAGTGTTGCTTCCTGTTCACTTCACTGGGTCATTTTTTTCATTCTAATATTAATAAAGTATAGAATTAATGATATTAATTATTTTATATTAATGTTAGGAGTTTATCCTTAATTGTCTTTGTTCCTGTCCTAACAAGTCTTGCAACCAATAATAATAATACTGATGCTTATAATTATGAAACTTTCAGGCATATTATTCATAATCAAAAAACCTGGAATATGGTCGGATTCATTTTTATCACTTTTATACAGACACTAACTGTAAGTGCAATGTAAATTTTATTAGATTTTACTGAATTTCACGAATATTTTTATCATCGTTGTCATCAAGCAATGTCATGTATGTGTTGTTTTTGATACCAGTTGCTACATGTATGTGTATCATTATTTTTCATGCCAATGTTGTAGTTATTGTTTTCCATACATCTACAACGGCCACTTTATACGGATGTGTACTGTACACTATGCATCATACCGTAGGCTGGGTTTTGATTGCGTATCTAATAGATTGCGAATTTGAAAAAATAACTAGTTTGCATTTCCAACAATTGCGAGATGCTAGGGCCTAGCTAGCCACACTCACAAGTTAACTGATTGTCTTGTTTCTCTCCTTTGCCATCTAAAGCTACTGCCACAGCTTGATTAACTTCCTTCAAGATGTTAGGTGGCATTGGGACTTGACTAGATGAGGTAATTTGGGCTGAAAATAGCACAGGATACCACTCATGATGCTGTAAATGAAACACGTGTAGAGAAAATGATTGATAGGCATGGCGCTTATTAATTATTATAGGCGTGGCATTTATCAACTATTATTAATTACGATTCTTTTCATTGCGAGATGTATTCCAGGCTTGCAATTCGCAATAAAAAAACCTCGCAATCAAAGCCCGGCCTACGGTATGCACGTGTTGTTGTAGTTGAATGTTTTTTGTGTTCAAGGCATGACTGTCTACAATTATCAAGAATGCTCATTATAATTGTACATGTTCATGTACCGTTAATATAATTATTACTATGATAGGTCTTTGCATTATTCTGTTCACTGGAACACGAGTTTAAATTCAGGACACATGGTAAGGCTACCCTTTCTTATTCCTTCCTTTATCTCTCAATAGAGCAGGCATCAGTTGAGGCTCCGCTGAATGCAAGATGTCAATTTCTAAAGAGATGGAGATTAGTATGTTATAATTACAGGGTCTTACTCACTATTCTGTCTATAGTATGTATCAATACCAAAGTCAGTAATGATAATATGTGGAATAATCTCACTCTTCCTGCTGATGTCCATAGAAATTGTTTTCCATTACTCTGAAAAGTATATTTATTTGCTTGCTTTCTTTCTTCATTTCTCCAATCTCCCTTCCTCTTATTATTATAGCAATTATTGTCATGATGGTGAAACCTTGGGTGGAACAGCAGTAGCTACAGTAGGAAAGGCACCAAAATCTCTGATAGGAGTCTGGCTAGCTTCTGTATTGTTACTGAGGGTTGGTGTACTTGTTATTGGCATTGGGTTGCTGTTCATACGTCATGAGTCACTCAGATTGACCATTCCTGCTAAAGTAAGCACATTTACATTTGTATAGAATTTATTCTAACTACTATGTTGTCCATTATTGTTACATTTTTCAATCATGAGCATTTGAAGGGAAAACAAAAGAAACTTTGTCAAGTACATGTATGTATGCATCAATGCCCTTATGCTATTTAGAAAATTGAGCTGATTCTAATTAATTTATGAAAGTAAACTTAGGCATAGTCTCCATGCTTCATACAGAGTTTCCCACAAAGCATGCTAAGTGAGCTTTAAAAAAGCATGCTTCATGAGCTGAGTTTTGACCCAGTTATTGAGCAACTTTAAAAATTCATAAAAAATTCAATTTTGATCGGAATCTGCCCAAACTTTCTACCCAACATAAGTACATGTATATGCATCAGAAAAAATTATAAAAATAAAGAATTTTCTTCTCTTCATTTTTTGGAAATTTAGCCAAAGACCCTGTACTATATAGTACAGGGACTTTGGCTTGATTTTGGAGTAAACTTAAAAACTCGTTAAAAAATCCAATTTCGATCAGAACCAGCTCAAACTTTCTACGCAACATAAGTACATGTATATGCATCAGAAAAAATTATAAAAATGGTGAATTCTCTCCTAGTCATTTTTGCCAAAATTTGGCTCGAGACCATGTACTATAGTACAGGGACTTTAGCCTGATTTTGGAGAAACTTCAAAAATTTGTAAAAAATTCAAATTTAATCGGAATCAGCTCAAACTTTCTACACAACATAAGAACATGTATATGCATTTTTTAAAATTATAAAAACGGAGAATTCTCTCCTTGACATTTTTGATGAAATTTGGCAAAGACCCTGTACTAAGAAACTTAGACTTTGGCCCAATTTTAGAGCAACTTTAAAAATTCACTGACATGAAGCTGAGTACTATGGCAAAATCTTGTAGGAAACCCTAGCTTCATGCATGTACATGTATTATGGTTTTACCAAAGTACCAGTCAGTTTTGTTGATTTGTGAGCATATGAAAGTTAGATCTTCCTTAACTAGATTGTACACAATTAAAATTGATTGTTATTGTTTCTTGCCCATAAACAGTTCTATTTAGTCTTTGGACTACTATTATCGATTGGTGAAGATATACCAAACTCAATATTAACATTATCCCGCTATCATTATGAAGAGGGACACAGTAAGTCTATTTGAAATTGGTCTGTTCGTGATTGCTTTAATTACCGTAATTCTTAGCTTTAGATACTTGCTTTGGTTATATAACTGCGTATGATGTGGTGCAAATAACGGGAGGAATCTCTCTGATATTCTTCCTTTTGTTTGTCAGAAGTCAGTATCTTCGTGTTGAACAGGTAACATGGATCATATTATATTCATGCTATAAGAGATTGCATAATCTTTGCAACAAGAGTTTTAGTTGGTTTATTTTGTTAAGTGGGTCATTTATTATTGAGGATAACAACTAAGTAGCTGTTACTATCTTATAAGGAAGCTAAGGAAGACTTCCAAAATTACTCTTGTTGCAAAAAGATAGTGCAATCTCTTTGTAATTGACAACTTGTGTTTATATTTATTCATTGACTCTTCCCTCCTCTTTCATTAGGAGAGTAAGCTTTCATTAGTCTGGGACATGCAGAGGCTGCTTCAAGTAAACGGAAGAAGAGACGTCCGCAATCATTGAGAACATTATATTATAAAATTAATATTATTAATGCAAAAAATATTATTAATGCAAAATGAATGTGATGTTGTGTAACGTTGCTGTTATTATTATTGTTGTTATTATTATTATTATTAACTTGCAAATGATTGTTGAAATGACACATTTATTCATTTTTGTAATCATTTTATCATGCACTTTTCAACTTTACAAAAAATAAATTAAAATTAATTTTGAAATGAGACAGGAAGTGAAATAAAACCGGAAGCGAGGTCAAACCGGAAGTGACGTAACGCACTGAAACCGGAAGTGACATGCTAATTACAGTTAATTTTAAAATTAAAAAATAATTTTTGAACACAAGCAGAACAGTTGACAAAAAGGGCACTAAGCGGACAAAAATGAAATAAAATATACAAATCAAGGTGTGTATTGAAATAGGTGAGTTTTTGTACAAAAATAAAAGTAAACAATAATAATAATAATAATAATAATAATACACTTGGCAAAAAAGAAGAGAGATCAAGAGAGAAAGAGAAGTTTGGAATCTGTCTCGACTAGAATTGTGAGCTCCTGCTCTTTCCCATAAAGTTAAATAATAGTGCTGTTACTGTTGGAGGGGGAGAGTTAATGAAACAATAATGACTGAGAACTGCTAGAGGAGATACTGAGTCTACAGTTAATAATTACAATTAACTAATTAACAAGGAGGAGGTTTTAATTATTAATGAATGAGTCCGGCTGGTCTCCAAACAGGTTGTGACTGGATACGATGAACGGCTTGTAAAGCCTCTCTGTCACTTGAAGACTCACTGATAATGGCTACATAATAAAAACAAAAGAGAAAAAAGGATCAATGAATCTATGCTATAGAATGAATGAGTAATGCTACATGTATATTAGTTATTAAATCAATGAAGAATCAAATTCTAGGCTTACCATCAATGTTTATTCTGGACGATATATCGACCTGTTCAGTGACAGGTGATCCTTCATAGGAGACCTGTAGTACAATAGGCTGAAGGCCCGAGAGTAGCTGGATCATACTGACATCAAGGACACTGGCAATTGGGCTATGGGTACCCTAAAATATAACAAATAAGTTAATTACAGGAGAATAACATTATAATCTATACAGGCTAATACAATCAGAGGCAAAGGCTATTACAAATTGTTATTAAACTATCAACTCACCTCAGAGTAGGTCCTTAATATGTCTTCAGTCGTGTGGCATTGCTTAAGCTGGCTTGACTTGCTACACATTGAGCTCACTATGGCATCACTCTTAGCTCCAATGACAAAGACTGGCCTAGGGGAAGTACTCTTGGAGTAATGGACCCTCTCATACAGGGAGGAAGGGCCAGCCTGCTTCTGAGTACTGGAATAAATAAATAAAAATGTTAATAAATATTATGACTAAATATTAAGCATTATATTATCCATACATCATAGCACATAGTAATGCACAAGTACATGAATATTTACTTTTGTGGTGCTGGTATTTTCTTTAAGCTGGTCTCAGCTCCACTGGCCTCGTCCACATTCCACGCCAGCCAGTAGTTTTGGTACGAGAACGTGTTTACAACACGTAATAGCATTCCTTTCTTTAGCGTCATCTCCCGACTATTGGCAGGGGTGTGGTCAATGAGACTCCTCACGTAGAACGAGTCCAGCTCCACCTGGTCCCGTATGCTTGAGAATTCTAAGAAGACAGAGAATAATAAAGATAAAGTCATGACGCTAGACACGCTCATTGTACCAAAACTCCCTTCCTTCAATGATTCCCACAAAACAAACAATTATCAAAAGGACAACAGTGCGGGTTGGAACAGTACATGTATAGTAAGTCTGTGTACATAATTGAAGCTAAAGGACAGTTGCCCAGTGATCCAGACAACGGCTTAAGAATGCATTGAGATCAAAGAGACAGGCAGAGAGGCTGGTACTTACTTCCTTTATTCTCGGCAACTATCAACTCGAAACTGCCCGAAATCTTAGAGAGGATTTGATTCACGTCATACAGGGACAGGCCATAAACACTTCGACCGTTAATGTAGAGTATCTGATCTCCCTGGGATATCTAAAATAAAAGAGAGGAATATTAAAATTCTTACATATTGATATGCTCATTTTATCTGATCCAACAACTATACATCTTTATAAATACTCACCTGGGACAGGCCTCTGACATCGTTAACAAACATGCCGACAGTCTTACCACCAATGACATTAATGATGCTAGGAGATGATACTACAACTGTCCTTTGGCTATTATAATAATAATGATAATAATAATAAAGAGAAGAGGTGGTTATAGTAAGAGTGGTAATGAGTGTAGAGGATCTTACTTTGATGCTTTTGTATTGAGCAATTGACTCACTCTTGTTGAGCTGGCAAGAAGAGACTGATCACTTGGGGTCCGATGCAATAAACGCTACAAGAAATAATTAAAATAATAAATAGTTCATTCTGCTACCCCCCCACTCTCATTTCTTTCTCTCTTTCTCTCTCTCTACCTCTGGAAAGGATCTCTCGGTGCTGCTCCCTGATATGAAGTACAGTGTGGTTCCATTCGTGGCTTCAGTTTGGAGTATCTCCCCAAAATCCTTTGCAGACATTTCACGAGTCGAATGATCCCCAATCTGTAAAACAAAAAAACAGTCACACACTGTATCACTCATGCTAGTAAATTTATGAATAATAATTATAAGTAATCATTTAAATTCATTTTTAAAAATTACCTGAACAATCTGGTCTCCCTTGTGAAATATTTTCTTATCTCCGGAAGAGAAGTCGCTATTAACGAGGAAGACAGACTCCCAATCCAGGGCATTAGCAACTGAAAAATAAAAACAAACAAAAATAATAAAATTTTTAATTTCCTGTTTCTGCCCACGCACGCACATAAATAAACAAAAAGCTATTATATAGCAAGAGAGACAGCCATGCAACAAAAGGAGGAATCATTAGTATACCATACCTTCCATTCCTACTGTTGGAGACAACTTGTAACCTTGAACATCAACGCTAGACCCAAACTCATTTTGCAGTGAACTTCGACGACGCGTATCCAAAGACTCCTCATCAAAAGACTAGAGAATGAAATAATATTATATTAATTTATATTGATCTGTCGGCAGTAAGCGTAACAAGATTAATTCTTTGTATTTATCTTAATAAATTTAATCTTTTTTCTTTTACTCTCTTCCTCCTCCTCTCTCTCTTTCTCCCTCTCTTACCAGTCCAATGGCAGAGTCAGCATCACTCATTTGAGTAAGAGGAAGTTTCTTGAAGCTGTGCTGGACCGGAAGGTCACTGATTTGATCGGCACTTTCACGTCGAGTGGGACTAAGAGGATCAGTTGATGCAGGAGGAGAACTATCCTCGGCCCTCTTGTCATTATCGTCTTCTAAAGAAAGAGAATGAATCAATTTGGACCGTCAAAAATGCACATATACAATGTACATACACACATACACATTATATGCATGTAAATCTTACCAGAAATAGAGTTGGTTTGTCTTATGAGACGTGAAGTTGAGGAGAGTCTTCTCTTTGGGCTTTTCTCTGTTGGGCTGCCCAGTGGCTCGTTGACTGAGAGTGTGGCCATTGCTTCAACGGTAGGAGTGATATCATCAATCACCTCCTCATTCTTATTATCGTCCTCCTTTGGTTGGTCTTTAGCTTTTGTGATGGCAGCCATTATTTGATTCATGACAGTCTCAGCTCGCTCTATAGGAAGGAGGAAGAGAATGTAATGAGCGTAAGGGAGTTACAATAAAAGTCTAAAAAGGAAGTAGCAATATTTTGTCTCATTAATGGATACAATTAGAAAGCCAGTGGCAATACCCTCTCCAATCACTATCAGACACAATTAAAGAAAAGGGAATTGTTTTTGCTAATTAATTCAAGCAAGTATGATGATGATAATGATGATGATAGCTAGGAAACAATAAGAGACAGTGTAGCTGACCTTGAGGAGTGTCACCTCCTTGATCCAACTGGTCAATCTCATCGTACCAAGCTGGGACGTGTGTCTCCCGTCCTTCACACCTACACAGCAGTGTTGGGGACGGGGTCATATCATGGAGTATGTAGAGCTCATTTAGATGATCGGCAAGTTTCATGTGACCGTTTGATGTAGCACACTCCTCGGCCTCTTTGAGCTGCTCTCCAGTGATATTCTCCATAATAGGAGAACACAGGAGAGAATACACCAGTGGCTCACAGCCTAGTCTACAAGCACCTAGCAACAACTGGTACATAGAGGAAGGAACATAACCTCCATTGTAGGTAGCCTGAGGGAGAGAGAGAGAGATGAAACTGGTTAGATACATTCATGAGTTGTTCTTACTTGTCCTGATGCACCGCCAGTAGCAGCACCAACTCCTCCATGAGTGCCAGACCCCATATGAAACTGGGACTGGAGCTGGGAGTTGAGCAACTGAAGGAGAACCTCAGGCGAGGATGAGAAGTTCTGATAAAACCTGAAGGTAGTTGATGCAATGTGCTGCTGGTCACAATAGACTCTCAGTTCTACCTCTTCAGCATATGGATACTCTACAATGAGAAGAGATGGGAACAGAGCCAATAAAACACATTATCATGACAACTGGAACTATGGCTACTAAAGCCATTAAAGATCAGGACTAAGATAATGTAAACAAGATGTATTACTTTTTCCTGATACTTAATACAATACACTATTGGACAAGTAACTCTATCTTACATATTGCACCTTTATGGTCTGCTGATTGTAATGAACTGAACTATAATTAAAATGCATACATGGGTACAGGGCTGCATGTAAGGACACAGGACACTGCTAAAGGAATATTGACAGTAGCAACAATAAAAATAATGCTGCACATTGATAGTTGGATAAGGACTAAAGAGCTAATGATATTCATAAAGCAATGTGACACTGAAGTCCAGTGAACTTATGATGACTGTATAATCAGAGTCATTGAATAGTTATGCATACACTAGGCCATACAGAGAAGCATGGGTCCACAGAATCAACACCATTATTAGTACCAGTTCCAATAAGACCATGCTAATTGAAAGCCTATGGCATGACTATCGTGCTACTCCGGGCTGAAATAGGCTCAAGTTTATAAGTACATGTTTTAAACTAGAGCCGGAAACTTTGGCTCTAGTATAGTATCAAGTATAGTATAGTATCAAGTATCTTTAGCCCTAAATTTCTGGCTCTAGTATCTGTGCTTTTAAGAATGCATGATAATGAAATTGGTGAACACTAACTGGAATTAAATGCTATAATTGTAGTGACAAGCATATCGATTAGCTCATAGTATAGAGTGCACTTTTATAATAATGTCTTACTTGGTATCTGGCAGGAGAGTGTGAATGTATTCTCATCAACAGCCTGCTCCAACTGGTAGTAAGGAGTCTGGGTTGTGGATATGAAATACACTGTCTTTTGCCCACGGGGGAGAGGCTGGTAAAATATAAGTGCCATGTATCCACCACCCTATGAGAAAGAAATGGAGAGATAGAGTCATGAATATCATAGCTGAAGGAGGTGCGCAGCACTGAGCCCGCGCTTCAATTGCATTTTCAATTACTCACCTCCATCGAGCTGGAGTTGGGGACAGCCTTGACTTCCATGACTTCTAGCCAGACCATTGCGAAGGAAGACAAAGAGAAAACACGATAAAAACAAACACAATTGCAAGTATGTTATATGGGATGCAGCGAGGGACAGATTCGTTCACGCAACCAGGCGCTTTTCTATCTAAAATAAAACGAGTGACCCGTAGCAAGAAAACTAAGATCTCTCTTTCTTTAAGCTCTCTCCGGTGTGTACGTGATTCTGACACTACTCCGCTTCTGTCCTCCAGTTTATATTAGAAGTAGAGTTGCTTTTTGGAACTGGAACAAACCCGCTTCGCTGGCAAAAGAAGAGCAACACGTGAGCGGTTGGTTGCCTGAGCAACCACGTTGCAATTCCGTCTCTCATAACTTTCTATATGCGACTCAGCACCACATCAAAGCATAGCTACGGTCTGTCAATTTTCTTAATAGTCCAGTATTCTTTGGATTTAGTATAATAGCTCAGCTACAATTATATAAACTAAATATAACTTGTTTTTTTCTGAAACTCAGCCACAATATTCATGGAGAACTTTAAAAATTATATTTAGTACAATCAACTGGGAAAGAGCAAAATTCATACGAAGAAGGAAGTAAAATTAATCGTAATCACAAGAGTACCTGACTGCATATGAATTTGCTGTGCATGTGAATTTCATATGTTACATGACTCCAGCATGTGCTCTTTGATCTGAGCCAAATGCCGGATGCATAGACTTGGTGATTTAAAGTCAATGATTACTGGTAAATAACATTAATTATGAGCTTGGCAAAATGGTTACATTCCATTTAAGAGGAAAAGCACTACAAACAACTATAGAATTGCTGCCAGAGTCAAAACATTCCACTTCTGGCAGGAAAACATAAATAATTTAGACCTGACGTCAATTCTTCTCAAAATGCTGTACAATAAAACTATTGGGACAATAAAGTATTACAAAGTAGCCTGGACAAATACACAGTCACACCTCTATTCCTACTAATTTAAAATTGCTAAAATATTTTGACCATATAAAATACATTACCACTATCATCAGTCACGATCTCCCTAATTTACTTTCACAATAATAAAGAACAGTATGTGTACATGTAGTACACCCATACAAGCCTCTACTGTACTAAAAGGAAATGTCTGGTACTATAGCAACAGCAATGGAGGAATAACCATCTCTGCCGGTCCCTCATTAAGTTAAAGGAGGAAATCTAAACTCAAGGAGTCATTGATGACTATTAGACTTGATCCCAATGAAAGTTTATAGTCTAGCAATACAGTACATGTGTAGTTGTAATACGAGCTATCTGCCATCTGTTCGATAAACAGCATAGTGTCTGTTAGAAAGGTGTGATGATTACAATCCTCTGCATCTGGAACTAAACTGTGTACATGTGACAGGTATAATAATAATAATAACAGTGCTATAATATTACCACCTTCTCTCTCTCTCTCTCCATCACTCTTTCAAGAAAAAGAAATAACAAATTGTTTTCAAATTCAATGATGCTTCAGTTCCAGTAGTCTAAACAGAAACAGCTCAATCAGAGTCACAGCAAAAGCATTATACTGGGCAACCATGATTCCCAAACAAGAGTCAACTCAACAGGTCAAAGGATGCTTGAGCTATTGTATAAATGAGCTACACTGTTTACTACATGTACTCATAGAGTAGGCCAATCCTGAAATCATTGTAAGTGCCTCTTAGGAGAACAGAGGCCAAGGAATGACATCAAAAGAAGATAATTGCATCACGATTAATAGTTCAGCTCCACACACACACATTAACCTCTCAACAATAAACAAAGAGGGGGAGAGGGGAAGGATAATGCCACGAATCTCCTCAAATGTGACCGTTACCTGGGTAACACTTACTATATTTGAATTCTTACAAGAGAGCATCACTTAGCAATGACTATTCCTCTTAATCAAATAGTTCTGATACTTAGACTAGCAAATTGAATAACAATCCTAGCTAAGCTAGCTCCCATCACAGAGTGTCACAGAGTGTCATCAATATATCAAAACACTATACATAGACTAATCCTTATATTCATATGCAACATTAAGTCATGGCGATCATATTCATACTTCAGTGGAAGAAAGAACAAATCATGATTATGCCAGACAACGCAATACAGTGGCTAATAATGCATATACTAAAACGTCATTATAAATAATGACTGGCATCACTATTAGTTAATGAGGCAGCGACTATACAGTACAGGTGTTAATGAGTGTACATGAGCAATGGGTACCTGAGTATGAACTGCTGAATCATTGTGCTACTACAAAATTTGTAAGACATAGTTTCAGTCACTAAACTAATGCATAACACACAGAATAAGCAATTGAGTTAAAATAATAATAATAATAATACAATCTACATGTACATGTACATGTAGCGTATCATAACAAAAGATAAGATACATGCAATAGTACATGTACATGTACATTATTTTATAGACATGCAGTTACAAATAATTATCACCGTAGTTCTACAGAATGACAGAGCTTGGATCAATCATGTGACTCAAAATGGTAAATGGAAACTAAGGACAGTTGCAAGACGACTGGAACCACTACTGATGATACATATAAGGACTGTATGCTATCTATCTCATGCTGTTGCAATAGGAATAAAGGTCAAATGTTACTCAAGCAAAAACAAACAGGAACAACTCTAGTACAACATGATGCTGTAGCTTAAAGGATGCCACTGTAATAAGAGACAGGCCTGCATCACTCAGACAGTAAACAAGAGAGTGAGTTTAATGTAGTTAAGCATGAAATAAGACAATGAGGTGAACATATACTAGGAATGAATGAATGAAGCTGCTGCTGCATAACAAACACACTACTGTAATAGCGAGAGACAGGATTATCATGACAAAGTGAGCAGTTTCAATAGGTGCAAGCAAACACAGTTCCAGTTCCACTCACACAAAAACACTAACCCACACACACACACACACACACACACACACACACACACACACACACACACACACACACACAAAGTCCCATCCACACACACTCTTAATGTACTATAGTGGAACCACTGATATTAGCATACCAAATGAGGCGTGATACTATTGCTACTACTGACTGGTATATGGCTGTACAAATCAGGACTAAAAGGAATTATCATACATCATAGTAGTGGTAGACTGGTAGTACTCGTTTGGATATTGTAAACTACATGTATGTGTACATGTATGCAATATCATGTGAACGTAGCGTTACGAATATGTCCCTCGCAAAGGAAACATTGACAGAGAATAAGAGAGGGAAAGGGAGAGGGAAGGAGAGAGGGAAAGTTGAGGGAGAGAGTGTCAGAACTAACCATCAGTCACAATTGGTGATTGAACTGTTGTAGGAGGGCTCTATATAATGATATTAAAAATGCACATTATATAAAAGTACCCAGGAAATAGGCAGGAACAAACAAACAATTACAACAGACCATTGAGCAAGCAACCCAGCCTGCAGTACTAGCCAGGCTTCACATTACAAAACAAAGAAATCATTTGAATAATAAAAGATACTTCCTATGTAGGTCGAGTAAATATTTATCATGAAGAATTCTACTGCCCAGCAACATGTACATGTACAAGTACAGAATATATTATCATAAATAGAAATGTACATGTACATGTATCCCCATGGAGACATTGAGGAGTGAACACTAACCAGTTCCACAGGTCCATTATTGATAATAGTACCAGGGACTCCGACTGTACTAGCGGTTGACTGTAAATCAACGACAGAGGGAGGATAGGAAGAGGTGGAGAGGCTGTGAGTGGGCTCTGGGCTGATCCGAGGGGAGTGAGCAGAGTGAGGAGAATGGTAGAGATTCTGACTAGGTGAGCCAATAAAGGTTGCTCCCCCAGCACTGTACACCGGTGGACTGTTTGGAATTTGATGCTGCTACAAAGGAAGGAGCATGTGAACATCATTAGGCAATGAGAACCATAACAGACAATTTATGAAATACCACTCCATTGCACTAACACAATGAAATCTCACTATAATAAAGAGGTCGTATAAAAAGGAAGGAAACAAACCCACGCCTCCCACATCTCCATAATAAGGACTTATAAAGTCATCCAATAGTAATAAGGACATTATTTTAATAGTAATAATAGTAATCATTACTTGGTACAAGCTTACACACTAAAGTATAGATATTGAGATAGCCATGCACTGTCCATGAACAACAAGTAGCTGATAATATAATGTACTGAGTGTGCAATAGGAACCAATATCCATTGGATTATATTCTATTATACAATAGTCCATTGGCACATGCCATATATATACAATAGTTTTAATGCAATAAGGGCCATAGTACCTAGAAGGTGCTGGTACTGGAATGGTAAACACATTCTGTGCATAGCTTCACAATAAGAGGCCAGATAGACAAGTTTTTGTATTTTAAAAAGGCAATGATTGCTACAACAACAATTAGTGAGAGGAGAGTACAAACAGATGGTACACAGTAATCAGACTGTGTGCATACAACCCTAATAAACACAAGCCCTCCAGTACTGCCAGTGTATACTGAGGCATATAGTGAGTTTCAGTTCCACTTACAGACAAAACATTGGTTGATGCAGGGCCAGGAGAACTTGAGTAGCCACCCCAGCCATTAGAGAGTCCAATTTGATATGAGGGAGCAGCTCCTCCAGTAGTCTCCATACTGTCTCCTGAGGCAATGACCTCAGCTAGAGTATCAATGTCATTATTAGTGTATGACTGGATGGGAGAGAAGAGAGAGAAAGAAATAAAGTAATATTATTATTATCATCATCATTATTATCGTCATCATTATTATTATTATTATGAAGAATAGAAAAACAGAGGAGAGAGAGACATAGACAAAGAGAGAGGGAAAAGCCCTAAAATATCAATATCAAAATAGTACACACAAATGAAGACAATTATTATCATCATTATTATTTATGTCCTGTACATTGGCATTCATATCCATATACACTGTACATGTACAATGTACTTATCTATTATTTCATACATGCATATAAAAAATAAAAAAGGTATTATTATTATTATTATTATTATTATTATTATTATTATTATTATTATTATTATTATTATTGTTACTTGTGTCTGATGAAGGTAAGTGGATTCCCCATTGCCTAACTGGATCCCACCAGGGAGCTCAGGCCCAGGCACATGATTGTGAGAGACAGTTGGATATTCTGATTTAATCTGAGGGACCTAGAGGGGGGAGAGAGAGAGGGTATGAACATCAACTGTATTGTTGGTAGGCTGTAGGGTGGTCCATGATGGTGGAGTTAGTGAGAATCACAAAGGGAGAGAGAGCAAAACATAGCTGATCAAATATCCTCATTGGAACTAAGTCAATTCCAATTATATATTAAATACCATATTAGTTCTATTTCACAGAACACAGCCCACTATAAGTAAAATACTCATGACTGATGATAATGATTGCGATCACAGTTTCATAGTTTATAAACTTTTGCACATTGTACCATGAGCTATTATAATTGGCTCCAAAAAAAACTCCTATTTTTCATTAGAGAATATACCATATAGAAGGTTGAGCTGATCCAATTACAAATTTAACTGTATGCATGTACATATTGCATGAGTCAGTGACTATAGTGTAAGCAACAATGGTGGCTCTAACACAGGGTTTCCCAAAGGAATTTGGCATAGTGCTCATGCACCTTCTTGTCAGTGGATTGTCAAGTTGCTCATAAATCAGGCCAAAGACCCTGTACTTAGTATAGGATATTTTGACAAAGATGACTTGGAGGAGTTCTCAATTTTTACAATTTTTTCTAATACATAGACATGTTGTTATGTTGTGTAGAAAGTTTGAGCTGATTCTGATCAAAATTGAATTTTTTATAAATTTTTTAATTTGCTCAAAAATCGAGCCAATGACCAAAGGCTATAGCCTTGGGTCAAAGGCCAAAATTTCGTCAAAAAGGGCTAGGAAAAATTCTCCATTTTAATAATTTTTTCTGATACACATACATGTTCTTATATTGTGTAGAAAGTTTGAGCAGATTCCGGTCAAAATTAAATTTTTTATAAATTTTTAAAAGATGCTCCAAATGCCACGTGCTGTATTGTAGTGCCAATTGTCAGCTCATGAAGCTCATGCTATGCTCTAGCATTAAACTAAGTTCTTACCATTTGATAATAAGCAGCAGCAGCACTGGTACTGTATCCTTCAACAGCTGATGTGTAAGTAAACCCCTACAAGAAAATAAATTGTACAAAATAATAATATTCAGCATAATTCATTTTTAATAATAATAATAATAATAATAATAATAATAATAATAATAGTAATAGTAATAACAATAATAATAACTGAGGTCAATGACCTCTTAATTGATGTTGTGGGGGTTGACCTAATGATGTAAAAGGAAATATTAAAAGAGGACAGCATTCATAGCCTATCTCCTAGCAACAGTCTCTGATATGACAATGGTTCAGAATAAACATGATAAAGGAACTGAAAGCTATCGCTATACACGTTAACAGTTTAACGTGATCACAATGAAGCCTGCTGCATCATTTTTCAACAAATCAAAAACTACTATGATGGCACAAAGTGGATCTTGACTAAGTCAAAATAATAAAAGAACTAGTTCTTAAGTTACATTAATTTAAAAAGGTTAAATACATGTAGCTATAATCAGAACTAATCTATTGCTTGTTTATATAAAAAAACTCTTGCAATCATAATAAATAACTTACTCTATTGCAATAAAATAATAACTATTTTTTATTGAAACAATTATCAGAACTACATTATAGAAAAAGCTGCTATGCCCATAAATATTTAATTATTGGCAATAATTGTATTAAATAATAAACATTCCCATAGCACAGTGTCCATTGTTCCATTACAATCAAGTCAGGGAATGTGAGGAATCCACCAGTAGCCCACTCCAATCAATAGCATACCTTGAAACACCATAACTTCTAGGCTTTGAAAACAATTATTACTAATTCATAAACTCCTACACTCTTTGATAGTCTTATTCAATGGACCAAGTTATTAAACTGATCGACTGCTTAACATTGGATTAATAAGCTCTCTCCCTCCCTCCCTCTCCCTCCCTTCCTCTCCCTCTCTCTCTCTCTCCCACTCTCTCTCTCTCTCTCTCTCTCTCTCTCTCTCTCCCTCTCTCTCTCCCTCTCTCTCTCTCCCTCTCTCTCTCCCTCTCTCTCTCTCCCTCTCTCTCTCTTGAGGCAATTCAAACTGCATGTACATTTGTATTTCAAGGAGACTAGTCACAATAATACCTACCTCTCCCCCTCTCACAGGACTTTTTAGAATGGAAACCAGTCAGTTCCATATTGCCATGCAAAGCTATCACATGCAATATGTAACTCCACAGATCAGGGCAGGTGTCACTCTACACATCAGCACAACCAAACAGATTGTTTGTCAATGCTTTCAGACAATAAACTGATACATAAGCTTCATGGGGCTGCAGAACATTAAATCATTACAATTATCAGTCCTTTACTGTGGTACAACTCAAGACACTATAAGTCCCTTTACTAGCCTGAGTATACTAAGTATTAGCAATTAAACACTAACAAATAGGCTGCTAGCCATATCACCTACTAGAAATATCATCACTATCAACAATTAAAAAATAATTACACACTAATAAATCTGGAAAAGGAGAAATAAAACAGCCTACTTTATATCAAATTAATATACTATACTGGTATTTCATTATGCGTCACCTACATGTATAGTATCTAAATTTTTGTAATATTTCATTTGAAATGTACTGTAAGTGTATACATGTACAGCACTTAAAACAATAACTAACAATAACATTCAAATGTTCTTACTGGGACAGTACTGTACTCTTCTCCAGTGTGACCTTGCTGTGGATAATAGCTAGCTCCGTGAGAATTAATGTGAAGAAATACCTCTGAACAGAAATAATAATAATAATAATAATAATACAAAACATCAACTTATAGTGTCATTTACACTCACTCCTCTATAAAATCCCTTCCTCTCTCTCCCCTTACCTTGCATTAGCATAGGGGATGCCTGAAAGACCCTTGATCTATACTGAGTTCCTTCCTTTCTGCTCTTCTCCTTCACCTCCTCCAGTCCTGGAAAAGCTCGGGGGAGTCCTTTACGAAGCATGCAAGGAGCATCCACCTAGTGGGAGGGACACAAAAATTGTGTAAGAGAAGTCATACAAATTCCCCTTTAATTAAAATAAGTGAGTCATTAGGCATCAATTTTAAGTAAGGCTGCCTGTATCTTAATGATGGCACAGTATTGGTGAGCCATTACATGGAAATATGACTAGTAGACATGGTTTCAATTTACTCAATCCAATAAACACACAACTGTGACATAGTGTCACTGTAATCCTATACATGCATGTACATAGACTCACTTCTTCAGAGTTTCTTGGTTTCTCTCCAAACCACTCCTTTGCTATCATGTGCCATTCGGTCAGCTCAAACAATCCTTTGTTGATACTCAGCCATTTAGCTTGTTTCTATATGAGAGACACAATCAAGTATATACACACATGTACATGTATCATGCATGAAATAAGTCCCCCCTTTGGAAAGTAAGCAAAACAAGAATGGCAAGTGATGATAACATAAGGTACACAATCTTTAACCATAAATTACTACAACTGACAGTGTATGTGATTAAGAACAGAACTCATAGTAAAACACCAACACACACACACAGCACATTACAATATTACAATAGTGTATAGAGCAATCCCACAAATATCATAATCTCATTAGTATTCGAGCAGTCTTACAAGAGGTCACATGCAATTACATGTATACATGTATGCATGTAGACGTGAGCCCTGGAGTATACATGTACATGTACATACTAATAAACTACTAAAGGTCACTGGTATACATGCACACATGCCAAATCATGACGTAAATATTGAATAATGGCCGATATACACAGTAATTATAACATGCCACGTAAACAGATTTATAAGAGTCAATTTCTAATAAAGTACAATGGCAAATGACATTATGCTGTTATTGTAAGGTGACTCACTCCTTCTTCAAGCTTCTCTATGATGAACTGTGCCATACGGCCTCTCTTTCTGGTCTTAGCCCATTGCTTCCAGCCTCTCAACCAGTCAGTGTAAGACTGGGACTGTGCTCCAGGGTAGGATGACATTACTTGAGCTAAAAGGAGAGAATACACGTAAGTAAGAGCCTGTGATACTCTCTCTATTATGAGACAAAGAGAATTGCGAAACAATAAGAGTACACAACTATATTTTTAAAAGGAATGGATTTTGATGATCAATTTAAAATAACCCAAACTTCCTACAGTTAGCAGACAAGCAGGAAATTCCATTAAAACCATTGAGAGACACTACTATAAACCTAGTGCACACACTAAGCAGTATTAATAATTCATTCTTAAAATAATAATTTAAAGTGAAATCTCTGCTGTTGGTCTACATGCATATAAATGAAGGTAAAAACCAGTGTCAATGAATGGTGGCAGCTATGTGAATGACACACACCCTTTTTCAGAGAATAAAGGGAAAGCCCCTCTATTTGAAGATATTCATGACTCCTGTTGAATCTTACATACATAGCCAGACATAACAGTATGAGCTAGTTGTGATAATCTTAGTACATCACAATAATGTATAATATGTACTCGACTACTCGTGCATGCACAGACGCACAATATTTTATGTATAGTACATTATTTGCTCTGTTTCTCTCTCTTTCAATGGGTCTACTTTAGAAAATTAAAAGACTAACAGGCTTGGTTTATATCACTGGGTTTGTTCAGCTGTCATGATAAATATCAAAGAGAGAGAGAGAGAGAGAGAGAGAGGGGGGGAGGGAGGGAGGAGGAACTTAGAGGAAGAGACCGAGGAAGGAAAGAGGGGGAGGAGGACAGAAAGTGAATGTTCAATATGCAGGTAGTACTAAGGGAATGTACACATAATGTGCAAATTAAACCAGCCATTTGCTAGGTAAAAAAAACATCATTTGAAAAAGAGTTAATTTCACCCTAATTTACACCACTAACAACTTTCACTGCACAATCGTAAACATATGGTCAAGTGCATATTGACACTAAACCAACATAAGCTTTGTCCTTAATCGAAATTGTTTGGTAAGTATTAAAATGACTTATCATGAAAATGTGCATAGCTATTGCATGTGCGGACTTACCCGAGGAAAAACGCAAGCCGGGTCAAGAGTTATAGGCTTCTTCTTGGGGAGTGCACAAAGTGAAAGACCTTAAAAGGTAGGATATAGAGACGCTAAACAGAAATAGAGAGAGGGGAAAGAGATAGAGAGATAGACAGAAAGAGCAAAACTCACTAAAACCAGAGACAGTAAAATTGAATTTCTTTAATTTGGAAACACCGCTTTTACTCTTATTAAGAGTAGGCCTACATTTTAAAATAATTTTTGAGCTCTTTGGTTTACGTTTAAAAATAGATCAAATTTATACGGCCAAGTTTTGCGCATGCGCAGAAAGAACCGCACATTCCTTTACCTCAGTTCATTGACCTTTCGCCATAAGCCCATTTTCGTCTCTCCATCAAATCCCTAACTTTATAATATTCTCATAATGTCTAAACCCAGGTGCTTCTTTGATATTACTGCCGATGGAAAATCCATGGGAAGGATTGTTTTTGAGGTGATTCCTTTTCATTGAAGCATTGATGATTATTATAATGATTTTTTTTCTGCAGTTGAGGGCTGATGTTGTGCCAAAGACTGCCGGTGAGTTGAGCCTGATTTAGCAATGATACTGTTTGTTACATACTTTTGCAAATTTGGGTTTGCATTATGGTTCACATAAGATTGGGTTATGTCCATCAAATAATAATTATAACAAGGAGTTTGATTTGACTCTGAAACACTTTGCGGGTGAAAGCTTTTTATAGAGTACGAGTAGGCAATTAAAAACGTGCTGCATAATTTATTTCACCAGCAACAATGATTCTTACCTTCAATGAATCTCATTACTAATTGGTGTAGCTTATCAAACTACAACCATATTATTTCATAGCATATAAATATATAATAATTCCACTTTTATAGAGAACTTTCGTGCTCTCTGCACTGGAGAAAAAGGGTTTGGCTTCAAGGAGTCTTCGTTTCACAGGATCATCCCTGACTTTATGTGTCAAGGAGGAGACTTTACACGTGGCAATGGGACTGGCGGAAAGTCAATTTATGGAGAAAAGTTTGCCGATGAGAACTTCAGCCTGAAACACACTGGGCCTGGTGATCTCTCTATGGCTAATGCTGGTCCCAATACCAACGGGTCCCAGTTCTTCATTTGTACTACAAAGACCACATGGTAAGTCTTTTTTATTTAATTGTAGTTATATGTCACTGATTAAATATCTTAGAGTGACTTTTAATTGTGGGTACTAAATTTTTGGATTTTAGGGCAGGAGGTAGATTTTGTTCATATTAAAAATTTGACTTAGGCATTATTAATAATTTTTTGGGTATTAATAATTTTAATTTTTAGCCCAAGCACAAAATATGAATGGGATGATACCATCAGTACATGTAGCTCATGATTATCTTAATTTGTTAGGCTGGATGGAAAGCATGTAGTCTTTGGTAAAGTGGTTGAAGGAATGGACGTAGTTAGAAAAATGGAAAGTTATGGATCCCAGAGTGGAAAGTAAGTCATTCCTTAATTTTAACTTACTCCAGTCATTTGTTCTATTGTAGACCCTCCAAGAAAATCACCATTGCAGACTGTGGTCAGTTGTAATTCTTTCATTTGAACTGAATGAATGATCCTAGTAGTGACTTCTTTTTTGTCTTAACATTGTGATTTTGAGACAGCTTAATTTTTCATTTTTGCAATAGTAGTAAAAATTATTCTCATAAAATTAAGAGTGTTAAAAATCTTATATGTATGCATCTTCACTGTCACCATCTTTGTCTTGATCTTCATCATTTTGTATGCTTCCTTGGGTGCTTTCTTTGGGCTCGTCAATACTCTCAGCTTCAGGCTGGTCTTTTGGTTTAAACATAATTACAGGACACATGTAAGGCTGAGGATTTTTATCAATAATTCCACTATATGCAATGAGAGGAAATGTAATGTATGGAAGCATTAACATATTTATACTGACTCTACTTCGTTGTAAATGGCATTTGCAGACACTTTGCATTCATCATAGATTCTTTCAGCGCTATAATCCATATTTTCCAGGATCAGAGTTTCATTAACACTATGACTATGAAGAATTGAAGATTTTTAAACTCTGGCCTCTACACTATAGTCTAACCTGTTTCTCATTTGCATGTGATTCTGAAGCTCACTCCTACTGCAGCAGCAAGAGACTCTACTGCATTTGAATCCGCTGTACCTATCATGCCAAGATCTTAATAGATCATGATACTGATGCATGTATATATACTTTAATGCCATGAAGATTGCCATCAGACCAACTATAATTGTGAAACTTAAGATAACAATTGCTCCAATTCCCATGTAAGATATAGTATTGATGTGATTGTCTCCTATGATATAATGATAGCATCACCATCATATGTAGTCATCATACAGTTCATTATACCTGAGTTGAGTGTCAGTCCAGCTGTAGTTACTTCTAAAAGTAAAGCTGAGAGGAAGACTCTTCCGTACATTTCTAGTTAATTGCTTGTTTGTTCTTTTCCTTCGTCTGAACTGAAATGACAAAACTTGCATTTTGCAAATAAACTGACAGCGACAGATGTGTCAACTCGATTATTGATGTTTATACACAAAGACAAACAACAGTTGGAATGAATTGGGTTATACTTTTACAAAGAATCACAATGATAATAATATAGTCTCATTTGACTATTATATTAGTACTGTACTATCAAAGACTTGAATATTATTCTATAAAGTAGAAAGTCGAGTTGATCAAGATAATAGTAGATAATATTCTCCTTATTGTTTACAACAATTCAGTTATATAGTACACCTTGTAGTACACACTACTGTTATCATAAACAATGCATAAAATCTAGTAGGCATACTATATGCTCTGACCAATTTCTACTAAGACAGTAAGACTACTACTAGTACTAGATCTATATATCTATGCAAATAAATATTAAATTTTCACAAACCACACCCAACAGAGCTCAGAGGTGCGGCATAGCAAATGGTGCCTGTGGCTCATCTTAGCCAAATTTTATTATTATGTGTCCTACAAGGTTTATTTGTTAGTGGAAGCAAAAGTATGTGTTGTATTCAGTTGTAATTTATCCCTTCCTTAACAGTTCTTGTAACCGGAGGAGCCAACTTCATTGGTTTTCATACCTCACTTAGACTCACAGAAAAAGGTCATAAAGTTGTACTACTGGATAATTTCAATAATGATGAAGCCCTCTTAAAGAAGAAAGCCTCCATTCTCAGTGAGAAAGGTGAAGTTATTTGCATGCATTATGATGAACAAGAACTGATTACCGTATAATATCGTGGAATTAATTTTTGTGCAGGTTCAAATCCACTAAAATTAATTCCGCTAAATTTCATAAACAACGAATATTAATTCTGACAAAAATCTAAACAATTAAAATTTAAAGCCACAAAATACTATACAGTAGTACAGTATTATAGTAGTTCTTGTATAGGAGTGCAATTACTCCAGGGGAGTTGTTCTGATGTTCATGATGTTCACTATGTCTTTAATCATCATCCTGATATAACTGGTGTCGTCCATGCTGTAAGCAGCAATGAAGCTGATCCTTTGAAATCTGTGAGCGGTAACATTGAGCCGCTTGTCAATCTCCTTGACGTTATAAGAAAGAGAGAGGATAATGTGAGTTTTTGTATTTTGATGTGACCCACTCTCTTTCTCATTCAGGCTTCTCTAATTCGTTTAGTGTATCTCTCGTCATTTGATGTTTATTCTTCGGCTAATCCTCTTCCCTTTTCTACTGCAAGTGAGCTCTCTCCTCCAAAATACATGCTGGCAGCCATGAAAGTAAGAAATGAAAGGAGGCAGCTGTATATGCAGGATTCCCCACATCATTTTGGCATAATTCTTAGCTTCTTTTGCTCAAAAATCAGGCCAAAAGCCATTTTTTATAGTCCAGGGACTTTCGCCAAATTTTGTCAAAAATATCAACAAGTGAATTCTTGATTTTTCTAATTTTTTTTCTGATGCATATACATTTGCTTATATTGCTCAGAAAGTTTCAGCAAATCCTGATCAAAATTTTATTTTTTATGGATTTTTCAATTTGCTCAAAAATCGGACCAAAGTCCCTGTACTATAGTACAGGGTTATTGGCAAAATTTTGGCAAAAATGACTAGGAGAGAATTCTCAATTTTTATAATATTTTCTGATACATATACATGTACTTATGTTGTGTAGAAAGTTTGAGCTGATTCCAATCAAAATTAGATTTTTTACAAATTTTTAAAAATTCTCAAAAGTTATGCCAAAGTCCCTGTACTATAGTACATGGTCTCAGACCAAATTTTGGCAAAAATGACTAGGAGAGAATTTTCCATTTTTATAATATTTTCTGATGCATATAAATGTTTTTATGTTGTATAGAAAGTTTGAGTTGGTTCCGATCAAAATTGGATTTTTTATGAATTTTTTAATTTGCTCAAAAATCGGACCAAAGTCCCTGTACTATAGTACAGGGTTATTGGCCAAATTTTGTCAAAATTGTCAAGGAGAGAATTCTTCATTTTTCTATTTTTTTCTGATGCATATACATTTACTTATGTTGTGTAGAAAGTTTAAGCAGATTCCGATCAAAATTTGATTTTTTACGAATTTTTTTTAAGTTGCTCAAAATTGGGCCATTCTTATGAAGCTGCTTTTATTTCAATCAAGCATGTTTTGTGGGAAACCCTGTGTACATTCAGACAAATTTAATTTTAATATTAAAATAGATGAGTGGAGAGAGTCTCGTTACTGGATACACTTGTACCTATCCTAAATCACTCTCCTCTGTCATTCTGAGGCTGTTCTCAGTGTATGGTCCTTGGTCATCTCCTGGTAATGCTGTATACGACATTGCTAAGACCATCGATGATAATAATCCTGTAGAAATACCTCATAGAAAGCAAGTTATAATATTATTATTCATTATTATTATATAATCTTAAAATTAATAACATAACAATAACAGAAACAACAATGATAATAATAATAATAATAATAATAATAATAATAATAATAATAATGATGATGATAATGATAATAATAATAAGGAGAGGGGAAGAAAAAATGAGGGAGGAGAAGTAATTAATGACAGAAAGAGAAAAAAACACAACAAAAAATTATTATTATCATTGTTATTATTATTATTAAATACATCATTTTTTAATTGTATTTTTAGTGGTAGTTCTGTGCAGTATGATTTTGTGTATATTGATGATGTGTTGAATTCTGTTGAAGAAGCACTAGAGCATGCCACTGGGTCTGATAGCTCGTGTGTTTCAGCCATTTTTAATGTTGGAAATGGAGTGGGCGTGGCTTTGACAGAAGTAGCAAAGCTGTTGATGCAGGAATTGAAGAAAGAAGTTAAAATTGTGAGTATCATCATTGTGTTGTTGTAAAGTTTATTGCATTTTAAATTTTGAATTTGTTTCATTGCATTTATACATAAAAAATTCAATTTTGATCTGAATCAGCTCAAAATTGATTACAACATCTGTACATGTATATGTATCAGAGGAAATTATAAAATTGGAAAAATCCTTCTTAACCATTTTAATGAAATACCATGTACTGATACTTACTGTATTACTATTACCTTGGACTTATTTTCTTAATGCAGACCAGTACAACACTTGCAGATACCTTTACACATGCATCCTATTCTGATACAAGGGACAGATTAAAAACTATTTCACAAACGTCATTGAAAGAAGGTATAAGCCACTGATGATTTATAATGCCCATCTTCCTATCACTCCCCATATCAGGTATTTCAAAGTTTGTCAAATGGTTTAAAAGTAGAACAAATGATCCAGGGTTAGCCATTTAGATCTACGTGTAATCCTTTCATTTAAATCCCAGCTCCAAACCAGCTGCACTTGATTCAATCCACTCAAAGGCTTTTAATGAATTCATTGATCACAAGAACAAAGCATTTCTCAAAAGGATAGGAGATTTAAGAGAAAAGTAACTACGAGAATTGACTGACAATTTATGTAAACCTCTTTCATAATATCTCTTTTATAAGGTATACTGCTTATGCTAGAGAACATAATATTCCAGTTGCAAAGTTTTATAGACATAAAACGTACAAATTTTTCCCAGGTATGGACTTTAATTTTGATTCTCTTTACTCTCCCTTCATTAGGAGTAAACTCTGGTAAGGATAGAAGAAAAGTTGATGGGTCTATTGAAGTAAAGACTGTCTGCTTTATTTTATACTTGATGTTTTGATACAGCATGTTAGGGAAATTTGCAACATCGTCGATGAATGTGTAGCATTTAATGCACAGGGTCAACTCAAAGGTATTGAGTGGAACTGTTCATATAACATAGAAATATTGTCCCCCCCCCCCTTCCTCTTTCTCTTTCTTAAGGTATAATTGATCATCAATCAAAGTGGCAGAAAGGCCCTGGACTTTATGTTGCAGAGATTGACGTGTGTGAAGCTGGACTTCACAACTGCTTTGGAAACTCGACTTGCACTTACAAAGGTAACCACTATCATCGTGGCTTCTTTTTGGTAAACTTTTATTTATGCCTCTTCCTAGGGCCAGCTCAATTTGAGTGTAGCTGTCATGAAGGCTATGGCTGGATTCATGATCGCTGTGTTGAATTGTAAGTGCATGCATAGGAAGCAGTAGCTTATGTATTGTTTATGCACTCCTGGTATTTCTTGCTATTTTCAATTTTTTTGTTAGATATGTTGAAGGGAGAGTGTCACAGGCTGAAGCTGATGAGAAACTTGCAGATTACATTGATGGAAGAAACTGGAAAGACTATACTGGAAGGAAAACAGAGTTTTACGTTTTTAATGTGAGTGGAGGGGAATAAGGTAATATTGTTGACTTTTACATTTAGAATAAAGATGACTTTGTACCCTATGGAGAGCTGGTATATTATCCTCAGGCTCATGGCGATGTAGAGAAGCTAAAGGAAGCTTGCTTAAAGACTTACCACTGCATTGGGTTCAGCTCTGACGGCTTGTTGAGGAGAGGATTTGGGCAGCCTAAGCACTGGAAATATTCAGACAATGTCTTGTACGTATTAGGTAGGTCACTTGAGTCTCACTTAATCAAATAAATTATTGTTGATTTGTTGGAAGATGTGGATTACTGCAGTCTTGATGCATTCCGTTGCCCTCCCCATTCGCGCTGTAGGAGGGAAAGACCAGGCATGTACAGCTGCTGATGGCAAGACTCTCTTTCATGTCAATAACACAAATAAAATAGTCATAACAATTAAAGATTAACATATTTTTATAATGCTAATTCTTACTACAGGATTAAAAATGGTAATATAAAAATCTGTCATTTTCTATAAAAACCTTCATGATTTATTAGGAATGTCAAAAACAACCGGCTTGTTTAAAGGCCTGTACTGTATGTTACAAGTTGAGGCATTAACATAAATTGTATTGCCATCAGTAGTAACACCATAGCCTGAAAAAGAAAGAGAGGGTGAGACAGGATAAAGAGGTTTATATTACTTGCCTTCATGAATGTGGCCAAAAACATGATACCTCGGTTTCACTCTCCCCTGTATTGTTTGGAGGAGATCAACACAGCCTGCCCTTCCACCATGAAAGCACAAATCCCCATGACCTTAAAATGAATAGCAACTAATTATCATTGATCAGTGAGAATGCCTAACCAATTGGTGGCCCATGAGTTATGAGCACATCAGTGTCTTCTGGTATGAGGTCCCATTTCTTCTGAAGTGGTTCTCCTCTCTCTAAATTGAAACCCCAGCCGCAAAAAGCTGGTTGCCTGCAAACAGAAAATTAACAATTTTATTAATCATTGTATTTATAGTACCAGGGAGATCCCCATATGCTGATCCCATTAATGGTGCAACCCGAATCCTCCAAGTATGTAATACTAGGTTCCTTAGCTATCATGTCCTTTATTTCTTGGCAGTTGTAAGGCTCTCTGTGTCCAAAAGTCGAATATATTTTGGGATAGCTCTCTTCGTCAAAAGTAATGTCGTGATTACCAGCGATGATGATCTAGAATAAATAATTTCAAGTATTATCTTTTATTTTTGTGATATTCGCTGTGTGAGAAGAGACAACAGTTTCTCACTTTGTTTGGGTGGGGAAGTGTCAGAACGAAATCTTTAAAAACTTGAACTTCTTTTCTGTGACCGACTCCAGTGAAGTCGCCAGCATGAATCAACACGTCACCATCAGGTACCAATAAACTTAAGAGAAACAAAAAATAAGAAAATAGTTTCGTATTATTTAAAGTATAGCGTTGCGATTTGCGTCTCACTTGGAGGTCTTGTTGTGAGTGTCACTGATGCATACAAAGCGAGTGTGCCCTTCCTTTTTGGGAGACAAGGGGTCTACTAGCTTGATTTCTTCAACTTTTTGGTGTACCTGGGGAAAATTATTATTATTATTATTAAATTAAAATAATTAGTAAAGCTCAGGTCACACAAATGATTCCCACTCACTTTCATCTTGTCCCAGGCAAAATTTGGGTCTCTTGGATCAATTTTCAAAGCCATGGCTAGCAAGGAACGTCTAAAGAAAGGGCCTGAAATGCAAAATATTTTTGCTGCAAGAAAAGAGCTGATCATAAAGTAGGCGTGGCTGAGAAATAGGAAACCCCGTAGATTTTTAATTATGCCCCGTGTTCTCTCCGTGAAACTTTTAATTTTTTAAAAGTGCTACTAGTAGAACTAGAACCTAGAAATGGAGGCGGTTCAGAAAGCAGTCAGCGACGCTGTCCAAGCAGTAAAGAACAGTCCGTTACTGAGGAGACGTTTCGGAGGAGGTGGGAGAGAAAACTCTACAGAAGAGGAGCCGGTACGTGCCGTGTCCCCGGATAAGGATCGGACCCCGTTCGTTGCTGGGTTCAGCTATAGAGTGGAATACTTGGGAAAGTCTATCGTGGATCAGGGTCAAGAACAGGATCATGGCTGCACTGATAAAGCTGTTCAATTGCTCTGGTCTGATGGTAAGAAAGAAAATAGTGGCCTAATTGCAATTGCTAGTGCTGAGTTGTGCAATAGCACTTATACATGTAACCACCCCCTCTAAGTAACATTCCTTATTAGTTAGAGGCTACGTTTAGTTTTTGTTTTCAAGTGTTTACATGATATAGATAAACTACAGGTGTTGAGGGTTACTTGATATATCGGGTTATTCTACCATCCTGTAAAAATTGATTTTCAAGGAATTTAATTTCACAAATCTTGAAAAATCTGCGAAATTCGCGAAATTTGTTTGTCTTTAAAAAATTCGCTGTTAAGAAGCCGAGGCTCTAATCAACTAACATCCTCATGTATTTATACAGTAACATTAAACAGCTGTAGTTTGTACTATAGTGTGTGGGTATATGAAAGGCACTGTGTCTAACTACCAGTATTCACAATTATTATGATACTTCTAACTACCCCTCCTGCCGTCTCCACTATTATAAACTCTTGGTGGTGCCTTTGATACACCATACAATAAACAAACCTGTATCTGTGACTATAAAAGTCTTTTCTAATGGAGTAGTGTAACCGCAGCCTGAATTGTCTCTTTGTTTGTGGCATTGAATGAAAAAATAATTATTGTATATAGATAATTTTGAAAAGCTGTGCATGCTCTGCTTTCTCACAAAGCATGTTCAGTGAGCTAAAAAACATGCTTTATATGAGTGACGAGCCTAAAAGCATGTGGGGCAACTTTTAAAATTTATAAAAAATCAAAATTTGACCGGAATCAATTCGAACTTTCTACACAACATAAGGATGTGTATTATGTATCAGAAAATTATAAAAGTGGAGAAATCTCTCCTTTTTAATTTTGGCAAAATTTGGCCCGAGACCGTGTACTATAGTACAGGGACTTTAGCCAAATATCGAAGCAACTTTTAAAAAATTCAAATTTGACTGGAATCAGTTCAAATTTTCTACACAACATAAAAACATGTATATGAATCAGAAAAATATGCAATTGCATGATTGTTTAATTTATTTTTCCTTCTCTACCAGCTCCCAGTGATATAGGCAAACCTGTTTCAGTTAAAGTGACTACTAACAACATTCGCATTAAACTCACAGAAGAGAAGACCATCCTTTACGACTTCCCTGTACTCCATGTCTCGTATTGTGGCCTTGACAAGAGATACAAGGAGGCTGTTAGCTTTGTTGCCAAAGAAGGTATGACCTAGTAACACTCTCCCTTTCATGTATTCATGCTTTCCCCCCAGATAATCGGTTCTGTTGTTATGTCTTTAAAGCTGCTAATCCAGACAAAGCATATGCGCTCGCTCTGAGCATTTCCAAAGCGTTTTATCTTGCATGTCAGATACTGCAGGAGCAGCAAGGGAATTTCCCTGCCACCCCAGAGAGGGACATCCTCTTTGAACCACAAAAGGATAACGATACAAAGGTAAGGGGGGACAAAATGGAGGACCTAAGTCACTATGCTATTTTATTCAGGTCAGCCCTGCCAGGCCAGTTATTCCAGGCTCTCCTCTCACTTATCGGATACATACCCAGTCCCAGCCTTCAGAAGGATCTCAGGAAGACACAGATGCTTCTAATAGTCCCAATAGACCTGCCATAGCAGTGACTCGTCCCTCAATAACGTCAACAACTAGCAGCATATCCTCTAATGTAGACGAGGATTTTATACGATTAGCTCGCTCTCGCTCTAATCCTGATATTTTGCGTTCAACGTTAGAGACGGATGTTGTCAAGCATCCCTCACTTGACCTTGTTCGGCAGCATGCTGACCCCATTTCTCATGGGAATACACCAGTTGTGACCCCATCCGGCTCTACTGAGAACCTACTGGTATCATAGGGGACACTGAGGATGAACTGTGTGGGTGTGACTGTGTGTTTTTTTAACTAAATAAGTTGTTTGATTCATTTATTACAAGTGTTGATCATGATGGAGCCATTCTGTCATGTTGGTAATGAGACTGTCAATTTACTTATAATGTTGACACTGAATATGTTATGATTGTTTATGATATTGCGATTCTAATCCCAAATGTACGTATGAAAGTGGTTTGGACACAACTCACACAAGCAATAATAATTTGTTTCACTATTATTATAATTTAAATAATAAAGAGGCCAAGACAAATACTCTATAATACCTAAGAAACTAATAGTTGATGAGTTACACTACAGCTTTTTACAAGTGTTTTTAACAGTGATTTAATCTTGTTCCTATTAGCGAAATGGTAAAATTATCTTTCCGAATTGTTTCTCAACTTACAATTGGTGCATTTCAAAAACACACTACCACCGCCTGGACAATCATGAGTGTACTCGCAGTCTGAGAGGTGGTTCTCGTCTCCCTTGCATGTGAACTGTGATCTGGATTCACTATGAGCTGCATCATTGTATCTGTCAGTGTAAGCTTCTACAGCACTAGAGTAACCCATCATACGACAAGCTACATTTGCCTCCTTTCGACCAAAGTTGTGACTGCATACTGAGTCCCATTTTTCTTCATGGAACACCTCCAGACGTCCACTGTCATCATTCTCATCAATGAAACGAGCAGCCTCTGTAAAGACAAAAAGTGACAGTAATTATATAGGGACAGTGTGTGACATATGCTTACTGAAACACCTAATGGCCACATCATTGCATTTTGAGGCAGATTTCACTTTATTCTTTGTGCAAGTAAACGGATTTACTTCATCTCCTGTGCATTCAAATTCCTTTGACCAAACTGCAGTTCTTTGGCTGACTGCAAATCTTGCAGGCATTTCTTCTGCACTGTACACATCTTGCACATTAGGATGACCGAGATATCTGCACACAACACTAGCTTCATTTGTATTAAAGCTACTGGAGCAGACAGAGGCCCAGACTTCATCGTCGTTAACTTCAAGACGTCCCTCATATGATCCTTCACCACCTACCAGTCTCATCATCATACCTGCCAGAATAATGATAAAGACTACATGGACTTGATGTAGCACATACTTGGACAAAAGACTGCTTTGACATGTGCAATATCTGATTTTGATAGTGCTTTTCTTTGTCCAACTGAATTGTAAGTGATCCCAGTTTTAAGGATAGTGAAAGAAGACCGTCCTATGCTGCAAGCAGAGCATTGCCTTGGATTGTGATGCATAATAGAGTAGTAATCATATCCAATGTGGTAGGTTAAGGCATCAGAATGCTTTTCAAAGCTGGAAGGACCTTAAAAATAACAAAACTTAAATTATAATTTAGACTATTGTAATGCTCTATATTTTGTCAATAATATAGTTTAGATTCCCTCACATGTATTATCACTAGCAATGCTGATAAAATCATCTCTATCAGGTCGATTGTTCTCATGGTATCGTCCCATAGCATGCAGTATTTGATGTGCTGCCTCTCCCTTTCTTTCCTCTGTTCCACTGCATTCAAAGTTGAGATAAATTGATCTGCGACCACTTTTTGGTTTTCCATTATAGCTGTAACATCTGTACATGTTGTATGGTGAGACTGTGATATTAATGGTATAAGCTTACCCCATAGCACTTCTCTTAAAACTTAAGTATTGCTTATCTGTATCTTTCTTTGCAGGAAACCTGACACATGTTTGCTTTTCAAAATCTTGTATGACTGCTTTTAAGTTTGCTTCAATTTTTGTTCCTTCAAAATTAGCATCATCCACAATTTGTACGGATATTTTATGGGGAATCGTCTTGCTCCATCTTGTTGCCAAGTCTGGGTTCCAAGCATTTGACTTTATCAGCCCATTCCAGCCACTCTTTTTGTATATAGCAGCTTCCTCTTTGGTCACAAGTATATCGTCTTCAATGAATACGAGGTCTTCAAAATTCTCTGGGTCTAAAAGCATAATATTGAGTATGAACCATGCTGCATTAATAATGCATTCTGACCTTCACCAAAAGTATTGAACTTGTTACTTGCTTCTGTATTTAAGATGATGTATACATAGTAACAGATCATTCTTGCTCACCTTTTATTTTGCTTCCTCTGTCCAAGTCAGGAGGAATTCGAACCTCCATACCTACATACATTGGAGAGTAACATTAAGACTACTAGTCATTATATAACTTTTATCTGATGAAGAGGAACTACTGCCTCTAGCAGAAGCAACTGCCAGCAGACAAAGAAATGCAAGAATCATCTTATTCAAGCCTATAGTAACTATTGCTCTGTAGTAGCAGTCAATAAGGCAAGTTGTATTGAGAATTTATACCAATTGCTGGCACATGGTGTCCAAATTGAGCAATATCTCATTAAAACTAATTAGTTTGTTAAAGACAGTTTGTGTATTTCTACTTCAGAATCAACACACCAGTCATAATTGTGTTTTTATTAGCTCTATGATTGGTTAACGTATAAATTAATAATTGACATCAATGATAGTTTGTCAAGTTCAGCTGGATTAATTTTGAGATCATAGTTCCTTGTAGGGAGGGCACTTTTATTATGTAAAACATCTCTGGTTGTACGCTACTTGTTCATTAAAGTAATTATAGTTTAACATTATTATAAATGTATATTAAAGTTCAATTATATAATTATAGGAAAAGTTGCTATTGCTACTACAAAACATCTTTGAGATTGCTGTTACAATTGACTTGAGTGTATAATCTGTAAAAGAGAATTATAGTTAATCAAAGACACAGTATCACTAACCATTCAGTGCACTCCAAGTAGACAGGTTTGCCTCTGTGACATATGTGAGCATGACGAATGTAGCAGTCAGAGAGATGATTCTCTGTTCCATCACACTTTAACTGTGATACAACTATTTTATTATCAACTGTATCATCATATTCACTCTCTTCATTAGTAAATACTTGTACAGCACTAGAGTAACCCATCATACGACAAGCTACATTAGCCTCAGGATATCCAAACTTGTGACTACATGCAGAGCCCCATT